TGTTCACTAGCATCTCGCTAGGCGAGTGCGTAGCGAATGGTCCCAGACTTGGGACAGTGGTGTTTTGGTCTCCTTCACTGGCAGCGAATGGAGTAGCGAATGACTCGCTGGGGGTTCGCTGTGGCGAACGAGGGTAGCGAACGAAGTCTGTAGCTTCTGTTCTTGCTCGCTAGCAGTTAGCTAGGCGAGAAGGTGGCGAACGTTCGCTAGCATCTCGTTAGGCGAGCGTGTAGCGAACGTAGCAGGATGAATTTTCCCTGTCGCGTGGTGCCGTCGTGGCTTGGGGTTTCGGTTGCGATCGAACCTTCTTTGATTTAATAGCTTATATGCTGGTTTGTGATGTGCTGTGGGTAGCCGTAAGGCGTGAATCCTAGTGTATGAATGTGATTTTGCATCGTGGCCTTTGGGCAAATTATGCGTTGTTTAGAATTGAATAAAAATGCATGGCAATTGTGATGAATTGAAAATAATGCATTGAGAATGTATTAGTGTATATATATGTATATATATATATATATATATATATATATATATATATATATATATATATATATATATATATATATATATATATATATATATATATATATATATATATATATATATATATATATATATATATATATATATATATATATATATATATATATATATATATATATATATATATATATATATATATATATATATATATATATATATATATATATATATATATATATATATATATATATATATATATATATATATATATATATATATATATATATATATAAATGTACAAGCACCGAATGCCTATACCTCATACTTATTCACTACAATGCATAACCATAGATTCTCACCGCATCAAATACACATAGACATAATCTCTCACACTTAATCACACTTAACCGTCTATTCATCGGTCAATATCTTTCACATTTATTTAATTTAGTTATTGGAATTATTTTAATTATGGGATAGTGTGATAATATGTTAAGTCTACATATTATGCTATTTTATCATTTGTAGAGTTTTGGAAAGTTTAGTGGGAAATATTTCGGACAGTCTCAATTAATGGTTAAGTGGATGGTTTATGGAAATTGATTGGAATAATAGGTGTATTGGAGGAAATAGAATGGAAAAAAATATAAAGAATAGAAATAGAAAGAAAAGATATAAGAGAAAAAGAGGAAAGAAAAGAGAAGGAGAGAAAGAAAGGGAGAAGAAGGAAAAAGGAAGAGAAAAGAGAAGAAGAAGAGGAAAAGAGTGGAATCATCAAGAGCAACTAAAAGCTTCGATTAATCCAAGGTAAGGGTGTGAAATCTTACTATCTTAATCAATATGTTTGGTTATGTATGTGTATGGTTGATTGGTTAGAGTTTTGGAGAGTTTTCCATAAGCTTCCATTTTAGGTCGAAATTGATTCGATCGGTAGAAGCCGAGTTTTAATGATTGAAAATGAGAATAAGTGGTAGGATTTAGTCGAGGAATGTTGGACTAAGGCTACTGGAAACAAGTTGGGATTTATCGGTGGATTTCATCGGGTGTTGTCCGCAGACGCTTGCTAGCAGCTCGCTAGGCGAGCAGGTCGCGAGTGTTCACTAGCATCTCGCTAGGCGAGTGCGTAGCGAATGGTCCCAGACGTGGGACAGTGGTGTTTTGGTCCCTTCACTGGCAGCGAATGGAGTAGCGAATGACTCGCTGGGGGTTCGCTGTGGCGAACGAGGTAGCGAACGAAGTCTGTAGCTTCTGTTCTTGCTCGCTAGCAGTTAGCTAGGCGAGAAGGTGGCGAACGTTCACTAGCATCTCGTTAGGCGAGCGTGTAGCGAACGTAGCAGGATGAATTTTCCCTGTCGCGTGGTGTCGTCGTGGCTTGGGGTTTCGGTTGTGATCGACCCTTCTTTGATTTAATAGCCTATATGCTAGCTTGTGATGTGCTGTGGATAGCCGTAAGGCGTGAATCCTAGTGTATGAATGTGATTTTGAATCGTGGCCTTTGGGCAAATTATGCATTGTTTAGAATTGAATAAAAATGCATGGCAATTGTGATGAATTGAAAATAATGCATTGAGAATGTATTAGTGTATGTATATATATATATATATATATATATATATATATATATATATATATATATATATATATATTTATTGCGTCTGGTAAATATGAGAATGAGGTTGATGTATATGTAGAGAGATTCTACTCACTAGGGTAGAACGGCGATGCGTCGTTCCTAGTGAGGTAGTTACCGGGGTAGAATGGCCGAGACGTTGTTTCCGGTAGAGCATAAGCGACGTACCCATAGTCCGGAAAGAGGATTGAGGGTAGTGAATGAGTCTTATGTGGATCACATGGTATGATCGCGATTGTCATATGTAAATATGCCTATGTGCAGGAATTGATGAGATGCGTTAGCAAATAAATAAATGTGAAAGATATTGACCGATGAATAGACGGTTAAGTGTGAGCGATTATGTCTATGTGTATTTGATGCAGTGAGAATCTATGGTTATGCATTGTATTGAATAAGTATGAGGTATAGGCATTCGGTACTTGTACATATATATATATATATATATATATATATATATATATATATATATATATATATATATATATATATATATATATATATATATATATATATATATATATATATATATATATATATATATATATATATATATATATATATATATATATATATATATATATATATATATATATATATATATATATATATATATATATATATATATATATATATATATATATATATATATATATATATATATATATATATCTTATGCCTTGATTATTATGATAGTGTTTCTCACCCTTCTGTTGTTTTATAATGCCCTATGAGGCATTGCAGATTAGGATTCGCTGGAGGTTTCCTTTGGAGTATAGTTCCTTTCCCTCGTGTCGGTCGCTCTGATATGTAACTTTGGGTAGATAGGCTTGTAGAATGTCTTAATGATGTTTTGTTTGTATGTGAATGAAGTTGTGAACAACCAGATGACATGTAATTACGTTTTGTCATGTCTTAAGTGAATATATATATATATATATATATATATATATATATATATATATATATATATATATATATATATATATATATATATATATATATATATATATATATATATATATATATATATATATATATATATATATATATATATATATATATATATATATATATATATATATATATATATATATATATATATATATATATATATATATATATATATATATATATATATATATATATATATATATATATATATATATATATATATATATATATATATATATATATATATATATATATATATATATATATATATATATATATATATATATATATATATATATATATATATATATGTTTTAGTCTTCCGCTTTAAGAGAAAACATGAATATGTAATTTCGAAGAATCATGCGTTTATTTTTAGTTGAGATTTACCCCTTTTGAGTTAATTCTTTTTAAACATTAATATTCATGTGGTCGTTTCGTGAGTATTGTGACGCACTTCTTTTATACTTTAATGTAAATACACTCTGATGAAAATAAAAACACTTGTATTCGTGACTATATGATTTGATATGTGATTATTTTGGGGTATAGAAAGGGGGCGTTACAAAGTACTTTCACACGGCGCGAAAGATCAGAGCAAACGTAGATCGGGATACGACGGAACACAAGTTTGTTCAACTGTTTTTTATTCGAGTAGGGTTAACAAACAGTTCCAGCAGTTGGTGTATGCAGCTCGACCGTTGGAGACTTAGGCGTTACCATCTGCGGTAGAACTGGGAGTTAACGACACTCTTTTCTTCAGAAACGTTTTCCTTGTTAAGATGTGCCCACAGGAAAAAAAGGAGGTTTGACGTTTGTTTTCTGTCTTTTACGGAAGAAGTGTTTTTTATGAACGTCTGTAGTTTGTACAGCACTAGAGACTATGACTTAGGAGCGAATGCGTCGCATATCGTCCGAAGGACATATACTAAACACTCTAGATGATTGAGAGGATACCGCTCAATTATCATTTCCCAAGTAGCTTAAGGCTCGTAACGCGCTTGTACTAACTTGCCTTTATTACGTTTTTTACTGTTGTTTTGAGATAAGGAGAGAATGAACTCTATGGGGAAACTGTCAAGTCCTAATGTTGTCATGCAAAATTGATCCTGTGATTGAGGTTAGGAGGGAGCTACCTAATGTTATCATGCATGGTTAAAACCCTAATGTCTGTCATAACTTCTCTTGAACAAGAGAAGTCAGAGTTCGTAAAATAAAGCATCCGCCTTCTCGTAAAATAAAGCAGTAACGGTACTTTGTCTTTGACGACCTACAAATGAGAAAGACAATTGTTAATATTTGGGACGGAACCGAAGCTCCAATCAAAGGATTGATCATGAACTTGTTTTCATCTCGCTTTATCGGAAGGACCGATGAAGATGTCATCTAGTCAAAGCAAAACGGTTAATTATTCCACCTTCAGTCCATACTTTTACCAATCCTCAGCTTTCACACCTGCAAAACACATGGTTTGGTGAGAATTTTTACAAACTAACTAGCCAGTTAACAACCATTTATTCTCTCTACAAGATTTTGGTGAAAATACAAGGCTACCTGGCGTAGCAACAGATGATGGCTACCTACTGGACCAAATTGCCGCCTGCGTTAATCCAACATAGCTCCCTTTCAATGATGTGATATGGCTTGCGGGTAATGGCCGTAAGAGCACTAGCTGCTATTGACGATTCATCTAAATGAATGGCTTTCCAACACGGTGTAATCGGCTGCAATGCCAATTCCTTTCGTTGCGTACCGCAAACTTGAGCCTGCCACAACAAACAATGGAAAAACAATTGCTTCCGAAAAGGTTTCTTTCCCAGAAGCAGAGATAGATAAAAGAACAGCTGAGCAAAAATCTATTGATGATTGGCTTCCTGTAACTTCTTCAAGGAACGCTAAATGGTGGAACGCTGCTTTTCATAATGTCACTGCTATGGTTGGAGCTGGTGTCTTGAGCCTTCCATCTGCCATGGCAAGTCTCGGATGGGGACCAGGAGTGGTGATTCTGATCTTATCATGGTTAATAACTCTAAACACTCTATGGCAGATGGTTGAGATGCATGAAATGGTGCCTGGAAAAAGGTTTGACACATACCATGAATTAGGGCAAGAAGCATTTGGAGAAAAGCTAAGACTTTGGATTGTGGTGCCACAACAGTTGATATGTGAAGTTGGTGTGGACATTGTTTATATGCTGCTACCAAAGAAAATCCCTGCAAATTCACAATTCAATATATCAGAATGAATTAACAACTAGATGTGAACATAATAATAAAAGCAAGCTTGGTAAAATATTAACGAAAACCGTTTTGAGCAAAACAAATGGAAGGTGTGGAGCAACAACATCCTTGGCTGCGATACTGCAAATTTCAAGAATAGAATTCTGCAAATGCATAAATCTGCCATTGCAGAGGGTGGCTGACATGTCGCAAGCTCGGTTTTATGTGTTAGCAAAACTCTTGAAGCACCAAGTTTGTGGAGCCTAATTTTCGAGTGTAGCTGGTACTCATGAGTTGTTTCCGTCTGGACCTATTTCCCTCATGCATGACTATGTTCCTCAAATGCTAAATGTCGCCACTGTTGAATTGATTCCAAATACGGTCGTACACCGCTCTTCTTCAGAACCTACATCAAGATAATCAGAGGAGTCACACTTGGCCTTATTATCATGAAGGATTTACCAATCTGTTAAACTAGAGAAGGAAAGGATTCACAATACGACATTACATCAAAACACATACACATAGTCTGAAAAAAATTGAGACGAGAATGATTCGAAAAAGCTACAACACATAGTATCAGAATAAGTCTACCACAAGAAAAATTCTATACAAAGAAAATGGTTGTCAAGTTTCTGATACGGAAGCTGCGATGGTTCATTCACCTGTGGCAACAGTTACTGCAAAATCCAATCTTGATAATTATTCTGCTGATATGGGTGGGATTGAAACAGGTTGCACTCATGACTCTAGTTTGCATTCCAAAGGACTTGATACTAGATGGACTGGGATGCCTTTTGCGAACTCATGCTCGGTCAACAAAACTCCATCCTTCAATACACAGAAGCTTTTTGATTACAACTTTGTCTATATTTTATCATTCCGAGACTTGGACCGCCAAACTGGTGCTAGACGACTTCTGCCTGCTGGAATTAATAATACCATAGTGCCTGTGTATGATGGTGAGCCTACTGGTATTATAGCACACGTGCTCGCGTCAAAAGATTATCGTACCCAGATGTCAGAATCTGATAGACCTAAAGACAGTTTAGAAAGTTCAGTTTCATTACCATCAATTACCTCCAAGCGCCGTCAAACGGAGACCTTGAAGTATCGAACATAAGCGCCACGTAACTTGAGGAATAGCTTGTACACCCCTGCAAAAGAAAAAGAGGATTCAAAACTGAGTTACTGATAAGTTACTGTCAAACTGCAGCTAGCATATCACCTCATTACAATTAAGAGGAGTTCATTTACTCTCCACTCCCTTTCAGAGCAAGCGACACATCCAGAACCAATATGTGCAGTTATGTCCGTAACTCCGAGAATGTCGGCATCCAACGCACTAAGAGAACAAGCACGACTAGCTCCGCTCATGAGACATCCCCCTGTGCAAGAGAAACCGTCAGTTTTTCTCAAGATAAAACAAAAGCTTGAAATGAAGTTCGTAAATCACGCAGAACCAGAACATCACGCATCATACCAAATCTAGAAAGGAAACAAGATAGCCACATAAAGAAAGCTTTCAAATCCAAGCCATCTTCATTCTACAACAACGTATTACGACATGTCAGCACAGTTTCGAAATGACAAATTCAGAAGGAAATCAAAATGTATCTCAATACAATCTGAATATAATCAATGAAAAAGGAAAGTCAGACACGTTTGGGACAGGGTGTACTAAAATGGAAAGCCATTGAATCGTATAATCCTAAGAGATGGTGAAGACGGAGCAAGGAATCGCAAATCATAAACAACTTTATGTTCCTACCAAAACAAGACCCGACAATAAGCTCCAATTTTAGATTCAAACCCCAAAACCTGTAAATCACAACAACAATCAATAACGCCCCAACACATTCGACAACCTTCATGGAAATCCAAAAATCATAAAACCTATATTGAAGAAACAAGAAACTTATCTCTTCCTATCGAGAGTTTCGTCGCTGCAAACCCATCAACCGCCATCAACCGCCAACCTTCCATGCTGGCACCCCTTTTAAATCGGTAAATTCGTTCTCTATCTAATACGCTTTGATACATGGACTTTGATTTGGTTTGATTTCGCCATTTGTTGTTTGTCTTTGTTTTGAATTCCAAGAAAACCCTGAAACAGTGTTGTGGAAACATTGATAGGGTGAACGAAGAGGAGAAGCAATGTGAGGCGAAGGAGAGAAGAGGAATCAGTGGACACGATAGACGAAAAGAGAGTGGAAACAGAGAAGCAAGGAAGGAAGACGAAAACGGGAGAGAAGACGCGAAGGGGGTTAGGTTTTTCTTGGGGGGATTTAGGGTTTCTACGTAAATTTGTGTAAACTATTGTAATTTCATAATCTCACACACGCACAACCATGGTAGTACCGTGGATCCTCATGCACACAGCCATCAGATCACCAACGGATCTGATCAGGCGCTCTACGTTACCCCTTTACCGTACACCACTCCCTGCGCACCACATGGGATTAGGTCGCCTCCCTTAATCACCCCTTTAATCTGTCGTTAATCTCACTTAATCAACCTAATAATCATTTTAATTTTTAATCAGTTTTAATTAATATAATAATCATTCAATTTATACCATTAATATTTAATTTAATTAATTAACCAGTAATCAATCTTTAATCAACCGTTTTTTATTAAAAATCTTTTTTTAAATTAACCATTTTAATTAATCTTTTTTTTAACTCTTTAACTTAATTTATCTAATAATTTTCTTATTCACTTTCTATTTAATTTAGTCATCAATCTTAATAACCCTTTTTATAATATTTAATTTACTCATTTTCATAATAAAAATCTCTACTTCATTTAAATTAACTTTTATTTATTTAAAATCTAGTTAATAATAACTAAAAACTCTTTTATGAAAACCCTTTTAATTTAATTTAACCTTTTATAATAACAATTTTTATTTAAGGATAAACCTTTTCACATTTAAATTAATTTTATTTAATAAGATAAAAATAAAACCTCTTAGATATTTAGATCCTTTTTAAATCACACCTTAAAACTTAATTAACCGTCTAACTTTTTACTAGAACACATAGCTAATATAATTAGTACCACTTTTTTATAAAATCAATCCACACCCAAAACCTTTTGCTATTAAAATTAAATTAACTTTTTTTTTTCTAAAATCAACTTCATCAATTAATCTAACTTTTTATTAAAACCAATAAACAACATTTTTCATAAAATTAACCTCCTTATAAAATAATCATAACTTCCTAAAATCAAATTCACCTAAAATTAAATCTCATCAAATTAACTCAACCTTTTTTCCTTAAAATGAAATCAACTCCGTCTAAAATCGATCCATATCGTAAAATATAATCAATCGTGCACGCTCACACTTACACTTCACGATTCACTCTCACACACTTCAGCGCTTTCATGCGTATGTGTATGTTTTATTTATTAGCCCTTTATTATCTCTGAAATTTATCTTCTTGCAATTTACATTATCGCAATTTATATTCTCGCATTGCATTCCGTCCAAAGGAAAAACCTACACATGATTCAACAATTGTGTGTAGTGCACATTATTTGCATCATTCTCCCACATGATCCTTGATCCCATTCAAGTCGATCTTTAAGATAGATCCTACCCTATAGGAAGGACCTTCTCTTTACAACATAGAAACAAACAATCAACTCAAAACAAACAATATTCAAACACAATAGAGAAATAGATGTTAATCATCTTAAGCGAGATAGAATCTCCACCCCACAATAATACAATCAATATGTAGGGAATTTGCCTTAGGAGAGATAGAGGCATACTCGTCGATCAATATCCGAGTACTTGAGCCCTTTTCTTAAGACGATGCAAAGACTATTTTCCTACAATTTGTGGCGGTTAAATCTCTCTTAAAATGATAACTCACCTCTTCTCCTAAAATCAATCAATCAACTACCCTAAACCCGTAGGAACTTTGACCACAGTCAAAGAACTCCTCAAACCCTTTAGAGGAACTACAGATACTCTGATTCCACTCCCGTAAGGATATGTAGGCATAAGATGCGACATCTTATCGAGTATACTTAGAAATAAACCCCTAGGTCTTTCAACCATTAAGCAGATAACCTTAGCAATAAACAAACATAAAACAAGAGGTTCTTGTAGAGTACTACAGAAACTTAGGATGCTAGCACCTTCCCTAAGTTTAACCGACCCCCGAACCTATAACTCTCTAGCTTGCATTTGCATTGCATTGTGGAAATTTCAATCTTTATCCCTTCCCTTGGACAAATCAAAGTTCGGTTGTAAAATGAATTAAAGATTCAAACTAATCAATAGTTTGGTATCCGATTTTCACCGCGACAGAAATGACGACTTCACTAGGGACACTCAGTGGGTTTCCCTATCTTGCTTTACTTGTTTATTGCTTTATATATTTGCTTACTTGATTATTTGTTTGTGTCTTTTATTTCTTTTGGGTTGTGATCCTTGAGTGGTGAGACAAAGTCCTACACCCGGACTTGAGTGAACTTAAGATAGGATAGTGATATGTTCGACGAGGCTTATAGGGGGTGGAATCCCGACCAAGCTGACTTGAAAATCACGCTCAATTGAGGCTCTCTCGAAAGTTGTATTGTTAAACGAGTTCTTAATCGTGAAAACATGCACTATATTCGATGTTGGAGCCTATGATATTAAGGACCGTAGTTACCTTAACCCCACTTTTTCCTTTATTAGGATGTAGTGCGGGACTATGAGGGGGTACCCCCCGAAATAGTGCTACGCGATGCTACACTCAAAATAAGTTCTCTTGAGAATATTATTAACCACCGAGTACTTGGAAAGTTGATAATATCCGAAAGATGGGCTAATGACTTTGGGAACCTTATTAGAACCTTGTTCTGCAGGTATAATCAACCTTTAGTCCTTATCCTTTGGGAATGGGTATACCTTTGCTCCATGCTCGTTGCAAACCTAGGGTCTCCCTTGTTTTGTTTACCTTTGTGTCTCTATGTGCTTACTTGTGTTTGTTGCATTCATAAAGCATCATATTGCATTGGTTTC